ACCAGGATTTCCCTTTGCCAACCCCAGGGAGGCTGTGAAAAAGAGGAAGATGCCCCAGGACACTGAGGCAGATGGAGAGCAGGGAGGACAAATCCCCGCGGCAGAACCTGGTGGCAGAGGCCGTTTTGAGCGGCTCCACGGCGCAGGAACCCAACGGGGAGGAAAAGCCCCGGAGGTGCCGCACGAGGAGGGGCTGCAAACGCAGATGGCGGGGATGTGAGGGGGAAAGAGCCAGCCTGGGCCGGGAAGGCAGCCGGAGATGGAGCCAGAGCTCGGAGCTGGTGGTCCATGAGGAGGTTCCTGATGGGGAGAAGCCCCACATGTGCGAGGAGTGTGGGAAGAGGTTCAGGTGGAGCTCCAAGCTGATCATCCACCAGAGGAGCCACACTGGGGAACGGCCCTACGAGTGTGGGGTATGCGGGAAGAGCTTCAGCAGGAGCTCCAACCTGATCAGGCACCACAGGACTCACCCTGGGGAACGGCCCTACGAGTGTGGGGTATGCGGGAAGAGCTTCAGCAGGAGCTCCAACCTGATCAGGCACCACAGGACTCACCCTGGGGAACGGCCCTACGAGTGTGGGGTATGCGGGAAGAGCTTCAGCAGGAGCTCCAACCTGATCCAGCACCAAGTGATCCACACTGGGGAATTGCCCCATGAGTGGGGGGAATGTAGGAAGAGCTTTAGGTGTAGCTCCAACCTGATCCGGCACCAAGTGATCCACACTGGGGAACGGCCCTACGACTGTGGGGTATGTGGGAAGAGCTTCAGCAGGAGCTCCAACTTGATCAGGCACCACAGGACTCACACTGGGGAACGGCCCTACGAGTGTGATCAGTGCAGGAAGAGGTTTCAGACCAGCTCTGATCTCCTCAAGCACCTGCGCACGCACACAGAGGAGAGGCCCTTCCGCTGCCCCGACTGCGGGCAGGGCTTCAGGCGGAACTCCCATCTTGTCAGGCACCAACGCATCCACACTGGGGAGAGGCCCCACGAGTGTGAGGAATGTGGGAAGAGCTTCAGGCACAGCTCCACCCTGATCCAGCACCAGAGGATCCACACTGGGGAACGGCCCTACGAGTGTGGGGAGTGTGAACGGGGTTTCAGGAACCTTAAAGAAAGCAGTGGAAATTCTTAGAATTGAGTGTGGCCAGTATATTTTTGTACCAAGGGAATACCAAGTGAAACTTAAGAACTGGGATAAGATGAAAAGACATTGTGAAAAAGAGGATCCTAAACATGGGGGCAAATGAGAGCAAAGAGATTCCCTGAGGAAGCCCTTTAGGGTGTATTTTAACACACTGGAAAGAGCTGGTGGGCTATGGTGGCAGTGAAACTAAAAGGGAACTTGTCAAACTTTCCACGTAGTGGTGGCCACACTATAGACTTGATGGAGAAGTGAAGTAGCCAGCAAATGGTACACTGGACTATGAGACTCTATTACAGTTCATGCTTTTCCTTAGGCGGGAACAGAAGTGGCAAGGAAAGCAAACTAAAGGAGTCATACAAGCAGCCTTAAGGCAGGCTATAACCTGTAACGGGGAACCAAGGATGATTAAGATCCCCTTTTTCTCAATGGATTTGGAGGCTTGGGAAAAGACTGCTAAGGGTTATGGGAATGACCCAATAGGGGTTGCTAAAAGGGTAAAGTTTATGGTTAAGCAGCATTTACTTGATTGGGCAGACATGCAGTTACTACTTGATGCCTTAACTGAAACAGAGAAGCAGTTGGTTGTGAAGATAGCCAAGTTTTTAGCTTAAGAGGCGCTTGTGCACCAGCACGAGAGGATATCAAAGATGTATTTCCCCTTCAGGATCCGATGTGGGATCCCAATGAACCCTGCCGATGAATGGGCACAACTTAAGAGATACCAAGACTTTATAGTGAAAGGACTAGAACGAGCAATTCCTAAAACCATAAATTGGTCAGCCTTATATGCTGTTAAAGAAGGTCCCTCTCAAACACCTTCGGAATTTTTGGATCACCTGTGGGATGCAATGCGGCGATATACCACCCTGAACTCTGGATTGGATGAAGGAATACAACAACTAATAAATTTATTTTTAGGACAATCCACAGGAGATATCAGGTGGAAACTTCAGAAGATCCAGAGCCCAAATAGCCAAGACTTGGAGACTCTATTGGATGAAGCATGGAGAGTGTTTAGTAATCGGGAGGGAGGATATAAACCAGGGATGAAGAAATTAGTAGCAGAAGTAAGGGAGGGAGAAAAGGAGAAAAGTAAGCAAGACCTGCCAAGACAAGGACCACCCCGACTGGGAAAAGATGGCATTGTGCCAAGGTCAAACCATGACATCATGTGAAGGAGGACTGAGGAGGAGATGAGGGCCCTACCCTAGGGGACCCTCTGGTTGTAGTTAAACTGGGGAACAAAGTAAAGGAAGTGGAATTTGTAGTGGACACAGGGGCAACATTTTCAGTGTTGAATAAGGCCCTAATACCTCTAACAAATGATTATGTTATGGTAAAGGGGACTACTGGTCAATCTGAAAGAGCATATTTCTGCAAACCATTAAAGTATTAATTGGGAAAGCAATGGGAGATCCATCCATTTTTATATATGCCTAATGCTCCCTCTGCACTTTTGGGCAGGGATCTGCTAGAGCAGCTGGATGCAAAAATAATATTGAAAAATGGAGAAATTAGTTTGGAGGTAAAGGACCAACAACATGTGGAGCTGTTAAGCCTAATGTTAATAACTAAAGAAATTGAAATTGTAAGTGAAGAAGAGAAAAACTTCAAGAAAATAATGGATCAAGTATTCACTGGGGTATGGGCTTCTAATATACCAGGGAGAGCAAAGAGTACATTGCCCATGCAAATTAAGCTCAAGGAAGGGGAAGAACCAGTAAGGGTTAAGAAATACCCCCTAAAGAAGGAAGACAGAGAAGGGATTAGCCCAATCATAGAAAACTTTTTGCAAATAGGACTGTTAAGAGAGTGTCAGTCTGATTTCAATACCCCTATTTTGCCAGTAAAGAAGCCTGATGGGTCAGACAGGTTAGTACAAGACCCAAGGGCTGTTCACAAAGTAACTGAAGACTTGTATCCAGTAGTTGCTAACCCTTATACCTTGTTAACTCGTTTAACACCTGAACTACCTGGTTTACCATTTTAGATTTGAAGGATTCCTTCTTTTGCCTCCCTCTCCGGGAGGCCAGCCAGAAAATTTTTGCATTCGAATGGGAGAAACCCAAAACTGGACGGAGGAACCAGCTCACATGGTGTGCATTACCACAGGGGTACAAGAATTCCCCCACTCTATTTGGGGAACAACTTGCCAAGGATTTAGAGTCTTGGGAACCTCCACCAGGAGAAAGGCAGTTGCTCCAGTACATGGATGACCTCCTAACAGCCACCCAGACCCAGGGGACACGCGTGGACTGGACGGTAAGCCTCCTAAACTCTTTGGGCCTTCTGGGGTATGGAGTATCCCAGAAGAAAGCCCAGATGGTGAGGCAAACCGTTATTTACCTGGGTTATGAAGTGAGTGCTGGTCCAAGGACCTTGGGGCAGGATGGCAAAGAAGCAATATGCCAGACCCCGAGACTTCAGACAGTGAAGGAACTGAGAACCTTTTTAGGCATGACAGGGTGGTGCAGGCTATGGATTTCTAACTATGGGTTACTTGTTAAACCTCTATATGCCCTGCTCAGGGAAGGGAGCAGAGATCTTCAGTGGACAAAAGAAGCAACCCAAGCCTTCAACCAACTAAAGAAGGCCCTCATGTCAGCTCTGGCTCTAGGACTGCCAGACCTGAATAAACCATTTTTCCTGTTTTCCCAGGAAAAACAAGGGATTGCCCTGGGAACATTAGCCGAGAACTTCGGCCCATACCAGAGAGCAGTGGCCTATCTCTCCAAACAGCTGGGCACGGCAGCTAAAGGATGGCCAGAGTGTCTCAGAGCTGTTGCAGCAGTGGCAGTGAACATCCAGGAAGCACACAAATTCACCCTGGGCCAGAAAATGACTGTGCTGGTATCCCACACGGTGTCTGCAGTCCTTGAGGCAAAAGGGGGACATTGGCTCTCCCCACAGAGGTTTCTGAAGTATCAAGCTATACTAGCAGAACAAGATGGTGTTGAAATTGTGGTAACTCACATGTGAATCCGGCTTCCTTCCTCAGCAGGAGTACGGGAGAACCAGTGATCCATGACTGTCTGGAGACCATTGGAGCCACTTTCTCCAGCTGCCCAGATCTGAAGGACACCCCACTTGAAGATGCTGAGACCTGGTTCACTGATGGAAGCAGCTATGTCATCAGTGGAAAAAGGCACCCTGGATATGCAGTTACCACAAGCAGAGAGGTAATAGAGTCTGGACCTTTACCAGGAAACACCTCTGCACAGAAGGCTGAAATAATCACCTTAACTTGAGCCTTAGAGCTGGCAAAAGGAAAAGAGGTTAACATCTACGTGGACTCAAGGTACACGTTTGGGGTGGTTCATGCCCATGGAGCCATTTGGAGAGAGAGAGGAGTGTTGAATTCTCAAGGGAAGGATATTAAACATGCATAAGAGATACTGAGACTACTAGGTGCCGTACAACTACCTGAGAAGGCAGCCATCATGCACATTAAGGCACAGCAAAAAGTGAGCTCTGAATTGGAAGTACAGAGGAAGAGACATTTATATTGCCTTCCTATTTGCTGTGGTCATCAGTG